GGGCTGCAAACGGTAGCTCATGCCTGGCTGTCTGAAGTCCCCAGTCAATAAAGATAGATTTTTGAAGACAGACATGAAAAGATGTGAACCCTGCTCCAATCTATAGACAGGGAAAAGTCTGCAATGAAAGCTTGTCTCTAGAGGTTTAAAATTTCATACTCCCCAACCGCCAAAACTATGAAGTTCAAAGGAAACGTTAGCAGATTTTACAAATTTCATCAGTTAAGTGTAAAACTGTCTGTACAGGTAATTTGCAAATGGATGGTGGAATAATTTAAAATTCTGAGGATTCATTCACTGCTTTTGAGATTTTCAATTATCCAGCTAAAGGATGTTTTATTTTCCAATACGCCTTCTTAGTTCCCAGCAATCTGTACTCAAGGACTTCCTTACTTGCAGATTTCGGGGGGTTTCTCAAACTGTTTTCTAGAATATTTTAAATATTTTAAAGTTTTATGTGCACTGTTCCAATTCTTTTTTGTCAACATTTAACAAACGGAAGGATAATGAAATCAAATCCAGCACCCAAACATGGGGATTTTTCCTGGCTAAAAGTCCTACTCATCACTTTAGCATACGGTTCCTAATGATGTATATAGATAATTTAAAAGAGAGCATCTGTTCTGGTTAGGGTTCTTTTTTTAATCATTTTTTTCTTTTGTTTTTTTGTGTTTGTGTTTTTTGTTTGTTTTTTTTTTCTTTCAGGAGCCATATGGAGATGTGACAGAAAGGAGACTCCTTCGAGAGAAGCTGAAATGCAAGGACTTCAAATGGTTCTTGGAGAATGTGTACCCAGAGCTTCACGTACCTGAGGACAGACCGGGCTTCTTTGGAATGGTATGTGGCTGCTGAGAAGGGACCTCTTCACAGTTCTCTGAGCTCTCCTAACTCAGTAGGAAGGTGTTTTTATGCCAAAATCAGTTTGGGATTTTGGTAGAATTCAGTTAGAATTGGTAGGCTTTAGAATGTGGTTTCTATCAGAATCTTTATTCTAGGGGTTGTTTTTTATGAAGGAGTTCTGTGAGAGGGTAGGAGGTAATGTTGCCGTGAATTACACCTTCCAAGTGACGTCTTGGGAGTGTTAAAGGCAGCAAAGGATGACTTTTTTTTATTTCTTGAAACATTGCATAGCAAAAAAAGAGAGTAGTGAAGTGTGTTAGTTTTTAGTTGTAAACTTGAAAATAGAAAGAGCGTGCTTTGAAACATGTATGTGCACTTTTTATCTGATGAAAACTATGATGCTCTGATGATGGGGAAAGAGAGTTGGTGCTGTGTGCTCCCAGATCACACAGGATTCTGTACGTCAAAACCAACGTGTTAATTTTTAATCTGGAGGTCACTTTAGACCAGCACAGGTTCTGAAGCAATTTTCATTTGTTCAGTATCAGAATCCTCTTCTCTTTTTTTTAAGAGTCGACAACTTTCTATGCTATTTCCAGCTTACAAATAAACTATAGCTCCATGTACATCACATTACTGTAATCTCATTTGGAAGGGATGAAGGCAGAGATGATACAGCAAATACCTGCTTCCTCCGAAAAATCAGCAGATATCTGCTGCGTGTCTTATTAGGACAAGACTGCACCTTTCTGCCAGGCAAAGGCATATAAAATACCTTCCTGGTTACCAGTGCCACACTGACGTAGCAGTGCTTTTGCTGGTAACTGGATCACTCTGCGGATCTAGCTGAGCTGCATTCCCACACTGCCGCGTCACATCCAGTCCCTATCGCGACCGTCTTGCCTTGCTGCCATCTGCGCTGCTGTTACTCAGCCTCTGCTGGATCTCCTTCCGTGGAGGAAAAAAAATAAAAACACCTGATCACTGTGGGCGTACGAAACATATAGGAACTGAGCCTCCCCCGCGGTCTTCCCTAATAGCTTTGTTACCTGTTGGACGAAAAAGATCCCAATGTGGAAACGCTGCTGTTTCCCACAGGGAGCTGCGTTTCCCGGGGGGAGCTGTAGGAGCTCCCACAAGGAGCGCATCAGTTGGCAGCAAAGCCCCTAGGAGCCTGGGAGAGAGCAGCCACCCTCCTCCATTTGTCTTGGAGCTTGTACCTGAGTGGGTATCTCTGTGTGATTACTGGCATGAAAGGTAATATCCACCATTATCCCGTCCCTTGTACAGACTCTGGTACAACATTGCTTGGTTTTTTGGTTGTTTTCTGTGGGATCGCTAAATGACAAGGTCAGAGATGGTTGAAGCAATAAGATATTATAAGACTTACTTCCAGGAGCATTTCAGTGACCTTATCCTCCCCTCCACCTCCATCCTTCACCCTCCAAAAGAAAGCCTAGACCGGTGGTGGTGATAGCGCTTCAGCCTCCTGGGGAGGGGAAGAGAAGGGATTTGTGCAGTTCCTTTCACGATTAAACTGCACGTGTCATCCTCAAGAAAGGTGTTGACAATACCTAGAAATAATAATTCTTGTTCAGAGCTGCTTGAAGTATCTACAGTGCAATTTAGGTGTGCTCGATATATTTCTCTAAAAAAAAAATCTTAAATGCTGTCATCTAGTTGTGAGCATAATAAGAATACACCATTTTTTTTTTTTGGCAGGAAGAATTTAAAGTGTGATTAAAGTACAGTTATACTCTAAGAAAGTGACAGTGCAAAAATGACACCTACTGATTCAACTGATTTGTGGATATTGAGTCCCATCTGCTAACTTCAATGAATCATTGATCGTGTTCTTTACTCCTGCCTTAGCTGTGTAGTGCTTTTCTGGTTCACAAAAATACTGTGTTTAAAATTGTCAGCTTTGTTAACAGCTCGGCTTAGTGTGAGGTTATTTAATTGTTCAAAGAGGTTGCAGAGGGATATGGGGATTTCTCCCTCCCTCGAAAATCTTTACACTGAAGTTGAAATATCTTTCTAAGATTACATAGGTCAGCCATATGTTATTGGAATAAATGCAAGAATTATTGAGCAGCACTCAGTGCCATGGACTGACAATTAAGACTTGTGCTAAATTTTTTCTCCTGACTCATAGATAAATTTCTACTGTCTGTACTAAGCTTGGTTGTCTAACAGGTTAGCTACCTAAAACTTTATTTAAACATACAGAATTTTGCCTATTTTTGCCTGAGCTATGTTTGCATTCTTATAAACTGCCTGAGGCTTAGAAACGAGGGAAATACATCTCCTTACTAGTAGAATTAGTAAACTTTACACCAAAATCATATAGCATCAATAAACCTGAAATGCCACAATGCTGATTTCACTCCGTACTCTGAACAAAATCATACTTTGAGAAGGGGTACTATCAATATTACAAGTGTTCTCGTGAATTTCCAAAATGCTTTGTCATCATTTTCTTTTATTTTACACTAGATGTAACCTTAAAAAAAAATCAGGAAGAAAGATTTTAGCCTTTAAAACTGTGAAGAATTTTGTTTTGCTGTGACATGAGAGAGACCATTTAGTAAATTACCTAAATAACACACGATATATATGGACAGGCTTACAGAAGAAGAAATCTTAGTTATCTGGCTTAAGTTAGGTAATCAAAAAGACTATTGCATGCCTGGTGTTACAAGTTCTCAGAGGTATCAGGCTCCAAAACAGCCTCCTCTAGGGTATACCTCTAAAACTGCATTATAATACAATTTGTGGAGCTGCCACTTGAGATTGAATTGTTACCCAAAGTTATAGCTGAGTAGACCTGGAGATCTGATGCCCATCACAGAAAAATGTGCACCGCTGTACAGCCTCTGAAAGCTTGAGACAGACTTTTTTAAAGAAAATGAGAGAAATTCAAGTGTTTAATCTCAAGTGAACACACCATCACTGGAGACATGTGCTTGTATTTTCTTGAGCCTCTCAGAGAGATCTGGACTTGCAGGGGCGAGCAGTTGAATTCCAACAGCAGTGTCTCATCATCGATTCCTTTAAAGGATCTTAGTCACCAATGTTGCATGGCCATTTCAGCATTGCACTTAATAAGTCAACAAAAATCTGAGAATATTCACTACCCACCCACCCCCCCCACCC